CATACACAAGCATCACACAATTCTTATGTACTTACATTTCTAACAGCTGAACTTTGATTATGATGTTGATACTAAAGATTACAATTCATATTTGTTGAGTTCTGGCTAAAGAAATTGTGACGTTGAAGTTGGGAAATGAGGGAATCTAAGACAAAAGATAAACACCGGCGAACGAGCTACATACCTTGTGTCGAACGGACTGGCCAACCAATCGTATTTTATTCAGTGATTTGTAATTTACCAAAATAATCCCTCAAAATCTAACGCTGAGGGCGTAAATCCGTAATTTTGAAAGACCACTGTCACATTTGAACTAAACAATTTGTCAAATTACAAGTAAATGAAGAATGTAAGATTAATTCATAACCGCTTTAAAATTGCATAGCCTCGACACTAACGATATGATATAAGTTACATTAAACATATAAAAGAATGAGTTGAACTACAATAAAGACTCCTAAAAATATCTTGATATGAAACTAAATCGCTTCAGACTTCTTCATAATCATCTCATGACGAGCACGCAACAAGCAAAAATATCTTATAATGATTGTTCATTTTCATCCATCAGTTTGAAAAAATGACAATTGATCATCTATTGCGCGATTTCACGAACATTTATAAAATACACATTTTTCATGCATAAGTAAAATGTTATTTGTAGTGTGCATTCCGTAGCCTATTGGTAGAGAAGCCTCTCTGAAAGTCGTAATTCCCTTCAGATCATGAGTTTGAATCTCCTAATGACGCAGTGTCATCTTAAGTCAAGTGGTACTTGAATTACTTGCACACCGGGTCACCACCAAACCTAGTGGGGTTGAGAGGATTGGTTGGGGACCTCCCGTCCTGCCTATTCTTAAAAAAAAAAAGGTAAAATGCTATTTATATAAAAAATTAAATTATAGATCTTAGTAAGTAAATACATAAGAATTGAGTGGTATTTATATAAATCTTCCAAAATTTAATTAACTTCTAAAAAGTCTTAGACTAGAGGCGAGAGGGAGACGGAGCACAGCAGAGGGCGAACTCCGGTCCCGTGCCAGAAGGCATGAGCTTAATCTAGGGCGAGAGGGAGACGGAGCACAGCAGAGGAAGATGACGTCCCCAAAAGAACCAGCTTCTGATTCACGATTTGCTCGTTCTCATCCCATTAGGTAAATCTTCGATTTCATTTTTCATCCCGATTCCTTACAGTATTTACCCTATGAAATGCTGCAATGGAGATTTTCCAACCAGAAATTCATAATGATTTTTGAGCTTTCATTCATTTTTGAACATTCAATCATTTTGGGAGCTTAGATGCATGGGTTAGCTGAAGAATTTTGTGGGCGTTAGGCGCAGGTTGTTGAATTTTATATATTTTATGATTGTATTTGTCGCACTTGGTTGGTGCATTTCCCTTGTTCGGACTTTCAGACTAAAAAGTTACGTGCCATAAGATTCAGGCTTCTGTTTATAACCATGATAGTTTATAGCTTCTTTAAAACCCTAGATGTACACATGGAGCAAGTTTGAGGGCATGTAAATGCTTAAAGAAGGGCGAGATAGACGGAAATTGGTGTTTTTCTAATTCAAAAATAATGGTTGAGGGGAATTACTTTTTATGGATTGGGATTCACTAGTTTTAAAAGTGTAATACTTCCATGTTCTGTTAACTAATTTGTTATCATTCATAAATGCTTTTAATTTGTTTACTGTTAATACTATTGATATGTTTACTTGAATGCAAATAACTTTGCTGGGTTCTAATAAATGCTTTTAATTTGTTTACTGTTAATACTATTAATATGTTTACTTGAATGCAAATAACTTTGCTGGTTTCTATCTTCTGGACTGCTTTTTACCGAATATCAGTTTATTACTTTTACCTTCACTTTATAGCCAAGTTAGTGAGCAAAGCTTTTTAATAGTTTTTTTTTTTTTTTACTTTTATTATTATTTTTTTTATTTTTGCTGGCCTTTCATATTTCAAGAAGAAATTTAAGTAGCTGAACTTCGAAAATTCTTTAATGGAGTCGTAACTGAGGATCTCTTGTTCAAAATTATTTGTAAAATCTACTATAAATACCCCTAACTCCAAGTTAATTCCATTATCTGTACCTTACATTGTAAAATTTTGTGCAGTGTGAGAGAGAATACCTGATTTTGTTCTAGGCTCCTAGGAGGTGTGAGAGAATAGAAATGGGTGTTAGGGAGGTTGTAGGATTGGTAATGGGAGTGGGAGGATTGGTGGCGGCTGAAATTCGGCGTGAATGGCTACTGGGCAGAGAACTAGAAGCAGGAGAATGACAGTTTTCTGCTGTACATAGGAGGTGGCGACAATCTAAATGTTATTTTTTTACTGCTTGGATGGCTAGACTGGAAGACAATTCTAATCAGGCAATGAAGACATAGCGTGGTTTCAACAACTTAATACACCCATAATTTGTTTAGAAAGAAAGATAAATATTCTATTAGTCTACATGCTTGATTAATAACTTTTTAATTATAGCTTTACCTTGGGTTGCTCATTGCAATTTCAACCTTTATTACAACATATAGATAATTACATCATCAAATAAGGGAACAAATATAATACTACATAAATATTTGTAAATCAAGAATCATTATCATAGATAAACTACTACATATTAGTGATCTCTAATTAAAAGTTGAGGGATTCTTTCAGGTGGCATAAACCTATGTTGATGTACATTATTTGAGAAGAAGAGAAGTTATAGAGGCCTTCGACTAATGCAGATCTCTTATATTAGATTATTTTCTAATGAACATAAATAAATTCATTCAATAATATATCATTATCTCATTGTCTATGAAAACCATGAAATTAGATGACTTTGACACATATTGTATTCTAGCTCAGACATTGCAGGTATCGATGCATTCGTTCTGCAAATACTTCATTAGAGATGTCATGGTTCAATGGTTGTATACAGGAAATTCACTGCTCCTAAGCTCCTTGGAATGAAAAAGAACCAACGTAGACGAGGTTTTTAATCCAAGGTCAATAAAAGACAAACCATTAAAAAGATAAATATGATAAAGAGCAAATGGGTTAAAAAATTACATATGATGACACCTGTAGACTAATAGAATATTTATCTTGCTTTCTAAATTAGTTATGGGTTTATTAAGTTGTTGAAACCACGTTGTGCCTTCATTGTCTGATTGGAGTTGTCTTTCAATTTCGCCATCCAATCATTAAAAAAATGCATATGATAAAGAGCAGAAGGGTTCAATGGAGTAAGGATCCATTGGCATGTCCCTCTTAAATGGATATGTGATCTTCTTTCAAACACTTATTTGCAGTCTTCATTTGATAATTTATTAATTTTACATAATCTTTATATACAATCTAAAGAGATGAGTTGGCATCTCCAACTTCATTTATCATATCATCTTTAGTTTTAATATGAATAATAGAATCGGTGATGAGAACATCTGTATTATCATTCTTCTCTTTCAACAACTCTTCTTTGACTCCAACTTGATTCGTTATGAATTAGTAGCAAGGACATTCACATCATCCTTCTCTCCACTGATTTATGTCTCACAATTATCTTTATGTACAAAACTCTGGACATAATCACTTAGAGCATCTAATTTCTGATCCAATCTCAGTGGATATTGCCTAACTTAAATTGTTTGTTCTTTAGTTCCCTATTACTTGCAAAAATCAACTTCAATAAATAAATAAATAAATAAATAAATAAATAATTGAAGGGCAAATCAACTTCAATAAATAAATAAATAAATAAATAATTGAAGCGAGTATGGATTTACTAGATAAGGGCACCGACTCATCTGTTTTTTGTCTTCCATGGACCTCCTTCGTTTCTTTCTCACTATGGCTACCATACTCACTCATAAAATGTGTAATGTCCTTCTTATTCCTCACTATTCTAACTGAGAGTTACTCACGAGGAGTTTCTACAATTGGCTTAGAAAAGCTCTCTCCTTTAGATATGTGCGCGCGCTAGTGTAGAGCTGACAGTCGCCTACAAACAATTCAATTCAAGTTCAGAAGCTAATTCTCATAGATAATTAACCTAAATTAACATCAATATAATAATTTTCATACAACTTATATCAAGAAGGGTAAATTATCTTTTCTTGTGAGCACTTTGGTGCTATTTCAGCTCAACATGTTTGGTGTTCTCTTTCCATGTTACTCTTTACAAGTTTTCGCTAATTTGAGGATGGTCTCATAAGTCCAGTGCTGCAATAAAATATCTTGTTCAGTCATAATATATTGGGATTGGGATTTTTTAGGGCATTTCCCTTAAAATATATTTTATCCAAATTCTACCTTTTCAAAATCCTCTCACATGATAGCTTTTCGATATGTATTTAATGAATGCTTATTCATCTTCAACTGATGCAAAGTATCTAATAATATAGCAATATAATTCTCATGATTGAACAAGCAGACATTAATAAAAAAGCTTAGATTTAATTTTCCTCTATCATTCCACTCAATGCACTCACTCATACATTTTTTAGATCTATATTTTTAAAATTATTACCACCGTCTAGGTAGTTACCAACTAGTATGTTGCTTCTGTTCATCTCTGTAAGCCTCTTTTTAGATGAGAAATCATCAAACTCCAACTCAATAATAAGGGCAAATATTCCAATCCAAATTTAGTTGGGCATGTTGTATCTGATAATACAGATACGACATGCCTAACTAAATTTGGTACAATGCTGCACTCACCCCGAGTAACATTAAGAAAGGTCTTAAATGAATATAGAAGATTGATAACTGTAAACTGTTGTTGAAGGTTGACAATCTAGCCAAAGATGCAGTTCATCTATGGATCATGCTGGAAAGCCTGATCTAAAGATTGAAGATTGCACAAGATCATCGCTCGATTAGGGGTTGATGGTTATGATGTTTTGACACAAGTTGTGCCAAATCAATTGGTAGAACGAAATATTCATGATGCCTAGGGGACAAAGAAATTCACGAGAATGCTAGAAGAATTCTTTATTCCATTGAATTATAGAATAAGTTTAGGATTATTTATTAGTGGAGAGAACAAATCCATTCTTTTATTGCAACATATCAGATTTAAGCCAGAAAATAAGTGAATACTAAATAATATGGATTTTGGTTATAACCACTCAAAAACCACTAAAAAGAGCCATGAATCCCTTACTCCACATGCTCCCATAAATACAGTAATATTCAAATTTCAACACATTCTATTATAAACATTTTATCACCTGCTCATGACGCCTTAGTTTCTTTTATTCTCTTTTTCATCAGTAGGAGTTAATAATTTTATATTTTAGATAGCTTACTTTTTCAAGTTTTTCCTATGCTAACGTGTGCATAATTTTTGCATTAGGCTGCTTTACTTTCTCAATAGAATTTCCAGAAGTATTATTTCATTATTCACATTCATTGTTTTGTAATAGCTTTTTTTGTATTTTTTTTTTGTGTTAGAATATCCTTGATTGATAGATTTTTCACTAGCTACTAATGATGTTCCACCAAATTCTTCTCTTGCAGGCAGACTCCATTGCAAGTAATACATGTTCTAGGAAACTTCATGAGAATATGGTCTGTTTATGCTTTATACCACCACCTTTCCCGTAAAGGAGATTCTGTTATACTCTTCATTTTCAGCTGTTTGGTTCCAGCTTCCATCATATTTTTGTTGTTGCAAAAGCCTTGGAAAGGGAGGCCGTTACCGAATTCACAGGTCTGTGTGGGCCATTTAATTCCAAGAAATTCCTTTTTATATTTGTACAACATTTTTTTGAAGAAACAATCTAAAATTGCAATTATGTGAATTTCAGTGTTTTTTTTCTTTCAGGTTGTACCTACAATCATAAATGGAGCAATAATGGCCCTATTCTTGATTTTGTGGGGAAAAGGTCTTTTGTCTTGTGGTCCACTTATGTAAGTGTGCTATCCCATGTTCGAAATATGACATTCTATCAATGTGTATTTTGACAAACAAATCTAATAACTTCAACAATCAAATTTACATATTATACTTTAATATGGTGATTTTTTTATTATCTACTAGGATATATACAAAAAATATGCCTTATTTGGTATGTTCATTTTTGAGAGAAGTATCAAAATTGTTGCTCGACAATTTATGGGGGACATTTTTATTCTCGTATTATATAAAATGTCTAATTTAGTCATTAAACTCTCAAAATAGGACCCAAAATAGTTGTCATTAAAAGTAATACAAATTGAAATTAATGGATGTTGTTACATGAGGACATAATAGGAATTCACATCTTAAAGTTCTTACAAATTCTAACGAATGACTTTATGTTTGGATATTCAGTAGAAAGTTTATTAATAGTAATTTCTATATTTGATAATGTACATTCATAATGCGTCAGCACGAATCTCAAAGAAATTGTATGGCCTGGAAGACGTGCGGTCAAAGATGACCCACTAGAAGTCAAATGTCACATCAACGTGAAGCGGGACCATGAAATCGAATTCTTAAACAAGACCTCTTTAAGAAAGTGCACAAGATCAGTTAAACAATAACCCCTCAAGACAAGGACCAAGGAAGGAGAGCCGCCTAGCTCCTCAAACGGACAACATGAGTTATCTCAGAAAGAATCTCAAGGTCCTTCAAAGCTACCAACACCCAATGTTGCACCAACACAAATCTCCCTAACGACTTTCTTGTTGAAGGGGTGGAGCTACCTGTCGGATTACGGTAAAGTGTCCTCTGCCTGATAGCCTAGCCTCACCTTGTCAACAGGGATGTCGTCTAAAGAGAGCAACTACTCGTTGGATCAGGATAGTCGATCGACCAAAAGTCCATAACTTGGCCGATTGAATGTTCATGGCTTGACCAACCGAAGGTCAATAGCATGACTGATCGAAGGTTTATACTGCGGATGATCGAAGAACCATACCAGCCTGATGAAAAAATCCTCTGTTCGATCAACTAAAGGCCCACGATTCGACCGACCGAAAGTCCATAGTCCGACAAATCAAAGACTATTAGATAAACCAACCAAAAACTCCAGCCTTAAATGATTGAAGGATGTGACAACCAAATCAGATATCATTTTGTATTTTTATCCATTCATTTATTTATTTATGACCAAAATACTCCATGAAGTCCTTACTTCAAATAGGCGTAAGCAGGTAATTGTATCCTTCTCCCTCCCAAGTGTATAAATAGGTGGTTATTTTACAGCAAAAGACTAATGGACTATTCAAACTAATCTTGTCTCTCTCTCTCTCTCTCTCTCTCTCTCTCTCTCTCTCTCTCTCTCTCACACACACACACACACACACTTTCCTACACTATCCTTGGATGTGCTTTACAGGACAAACTTAGATTCAACATTTCAATTTTATGTGTTAATTTCCTCATGGAGTGTCTGAAAATTAAGTAATTGATGATGAGAATATTACCATTGATGATGAGAATATTACCAATACATTACATTATCCCAAGCAATGTAAGCAGGAAATTGGATTTTAAAAAAATTTCAAGATAGATGTAAATTCCTAAAATACTATCATTTTCACAACTTTCCGTTAATTTTAATTTGAAATTCTATTACTTATAATGACATGAATATTTTTGCTCATATTTTAAGAGGCAGATGCTAAATTGGACTTTATGTAGTTTATGATTAAAATAGCCCCTCATAAATAGTCGCGGGATTATTTTGGTCCTTCTCTCATTAGTTTCTTTGATGTAAATCTTCAAGCTTTATAGTGTTGGAGACTCTTTGCCATCCTAACAATTGGCTTTCATGTGTGTGCTAATTGCTTTATTACTTTGTGTGTATATGGGGCAGTACCTTGTATAAATGATTATAATTTCATCAATATTTGTATGCTGTGTTTTTAACATGTGATTAGCATTAGAAATTGGCTTATCCCATTGCAGCTGCAGATTTACTGAAGCATGAGCTCTTTGTGCCAGTTAGCATGTAGAAATATTTACATATGCTCACCTTTTACCAATTTGGAAATGGAAAAGAATTAATAAGCTTACTGAGTCATAAAAGCATGCGCTTATTAAGCATTGAGGCTCATAAAATAAATAACAAGCATGCAATTAGATTTTTTTTAAATCTAAATACGCATAATGGTTCACCATTGTAATAAGCTTGGGCGTGAAGATTTTAATAAGAATTTCTCTTTGTCCAAAACTCCTTTCTTTCCTCTCATATTTTCCTGCTGTAAAGGCACTTTAACTAACTTTAATCCCCTAGAGAATAAAATCCCTTTCATCAGCTTGTTGCCAATCTTAGAAGATTCCAGAGGGTAAGCACTAAACTTTATGTCTGTCATGGATATTTTCCTCAAAGTAAGGCTATAAGCCTTTAGTTTGAGCAGAGCGCCTAAACTGCAGACTTCCAAGGGAGGTATGATCAATGAGAGACAACAAGAAGCCTACAAATCTACAATGTTGTTGAGATAATATATGAAAAGAAGCCTACAAATCTACAATGTTGTTGAGATAATATATGAATTTGTTAAGTTATTTGGGTTTTCACATGATTACAATAGGAATGATGAACTTAACTCCAAAGAAGGCCTATAAATTAACAATGTTGCTTAGATAGTCTAGGAATCTGTGTAGTTATTTGGGTGTTTTCGGAAGGAATGGTGGTTAAAGTTCATTATAGTTGATATGGAGTAGATGCTTGTTAGGAAGAGCTTGAGTGCCACCTTGAACTTAAAAAACTTGGGTACGATTTCTATATTTGACACTGAAGATGGGTGAGTTGTCATTCATTCCATCTATTAATGAGTTACAAAGATAATTCTTGGCCCCAAAATTTAAAATTTCCAATGTGATGCGGTCCTCCTCACCAATCACATAGAACTAGTCGTGGAGTTGTTTTCAATTTGAGAACATTTGGGTAGAACAGCCTTCTCAAATTCTCTAAATCTCAATCTGCCCTTGGTCATTTGTTCCATTTTCCAATATCGAAAAGAACTCGTGCCACTTTGGCTTAAAAACCATTAATAAACTTTGTGAATTGGAAAGAATCCTATTAGTATATGTAAATTAGGTTGATAGATCAATTGAACATTGAATATTTTACAGACATATGTAATCAAATTTAAATGTTTTTCCTACCTTATATGATATTGATGCATCGAAAGAATGATAAAAAATATTAGATGATAGGAAGAATAGAAGGGCACTGGCTTGGCTAAATAGATGACTTCCTTCAGAAGTGTTGCATTGCTAGAATTTTTTTATAAAGGCATTTGCATACATACCATACAATTCTTTTGTATTTACATATCTAACATTTAAACTTTCATATTTACATGCATACCACTCAAATCTTTGGCATCGCATTAAAAATACCACTTTCACTATCTTTTTAAAAATGAAATACACCTTTCAATGCAGAAATTTTTTAATACCAAATTGTTATAAATGTAAATATCAAAATTTAGGCGTTAGATATGTAAATACATAAGAATTGTGTGGCATGAATTGAATTACTCCTTTTTTATATTTTCAACTACTTTGTGTAGTCTTTTTATTTTCATATGATTTTCCCTCCATGTTTATGTGTTATGCATATATTTCATGTGTTTTAGGAGAGAGAGTTGGTTATACGAGTGTGTTGATCTCATATATATTGTTTTTTTAAATTTGTCTTGTGTAGCACTTTTTTTATCTTTTTTTTTGTTATTTCACTTGTAACACAAAGTCAATTGAGCATGTCCTACATAAAAATAGTAAGGTACAGAGATGAATCAACTCAAAATCAATCGTTTTGATGTGATTTGAAATTGAACATGTATACACATAAACCCATTTAACAATTTTAAAAACTTTTTAATGTTAAATGACTTGATATAATGCAATAAATTGCTGCAAACAAGTTCAAGGGCAGCATTACTATCTTATCACTCTAACCAAAATCTCGCTTTCCCATCCTTTTTCCTTTGAAATTTCTTCCATCAATTATATTAACCGAAGTTTTTTATTTACTCTTTTTTAGTACGCTTTTGGCAGAGTATGCTGGAGCTGTGCTTGGAGTTCTATCTGCATTATTTTATGGAAGGAGAGTTAGCGTTTGGAAGAAGGTATTTTTTTATTTAACATAGAATTGATTTCTTAGCCTGCATGTCATCTTCTTTACTCAGTAAATCCTTATCTTGCTAATAGCAGCAAGCTTTCTGGTATGGCTACTAATTTCTATTTTGCTGCTTTGTTAAGTTTGTTTGAACAAGCCATGTTTTGTTGGAGCATTTGCATAGATAGCACACAATTCTTATGTCTTTCCATATCTCTTGCCTAAACTTTCATATTTAGTCACATAGCACCCAAATCCTTAATATCACATATAAGATGCCACTACTACCAGTTTTTAAAAGTGAAATACATATTTCCATGCATAGGTTTAAAGCTCCCAAAGTCCAAAGTACCATGTATGTAAATATGAAAGTTTTGGTGTGAGATATGTAAATATTTAAGAATTGTGTGCTATGAATGTAAATTTCTCTATGTTGTATTGCGAGTGTAAGATGAAATATCATACTGATACACTGTATTGAAGATTCTTGCGTTAGTACTCACTTCATAAATAGAAACTATGATGCTTCTGCTGCTTAGTATTCATCTACCCTTTTCTTATTTCTCTAAATGAAGACTTTTGTGGAATTCAATTATCAAAATTATCTTCGCTTCATTGTAGTAAGATTTTGGTAAATTATAATAGACCATCCGTCTGGTTTCTATTTATAAGATGAATTTTAACAGCTATTACATGGTTTTATTGTTTTCCAGGCTTCCTTATAGATTATATTTGCTCTCATAAAAGATTCATGGTTTCATCTTGTATAGGTCGGTGGACTTCTCGCAATGTCAGTATCATTTTATCTTTTATCTATTGGTTGGGCGACACGCACTTACTCACCATTCTGTATCCAATAAATTGCGAAATAATTGACTGTTTTATTAGTCAAATGTTTCCTATCAAAGAAGTGAATTTTTGTTGTAAATATCAACTTTTATTTGTTTCTTGCATATAATAATATTTAGTTTTCCAATAATAAATTAGGCTTGACTTGATATTCATAGATAGTGTCGGTTCAGAGCGAGTGGATCAAGCTAAGCAATCCTCAGGATTCAAAGCAATGGCAGTGCCCATCTTGGCTGGTATCTTGTCAGCTTTGAGAAGAGTGATGGCACGTCGAGTTTCACTCAAGGTTTTTTGTAATTTTTAAAATTATTTGGTTGTAACTTGTAGCTGGAAGCTTCACCATTTTTTTGCGTTTATGAAAGCATAAAAGTTAAATATTTTTCTTGAAAATAAATAGAATCAGCTTAAAAGGCGACTTCATGCAATTACTGTTGCCTCGGCTGCTTGTTTTATTTTTCCTCTGGCCATGTGGGATACAATCTTAGTAAGTCTATGTTTTTGTTCTGCTTGTAATGCAAATGTTTATTTTGTAAATTTACTTTTCATTTGGCTTTTACGTCATTTATGGTAGTTTTCATTGGTCAAATATCCAGGGCTCAGAGTCCAACGGCATTTCCGACTTACAGTTTACGAGTTGGGCATTCTTGAGCACAATCATTTTTGGAACAGTGCTTGTATTTTACATTGACAATTTAGCCGAGGAAAGGTGACGTGAACTGTTATATGCTTTGCTTGTATGTTTATCTGATTTAATTTTACATCATTCTTTTAATGTGGTCTTTATTACATTTTGTTATGTGCATGAACTATTCGTGAATTCATTAGCAAGTTGATCCCGCTATTTAAGTGATGGTAATTGAATTCCTCCTATAGTCATTCAGATATTTTGGCTGATTAATATTTTAGCTCATAGTAATAAAAAAAATCTATTCTGCACTCTATACACGTGTGCATGCATGCACACACACTTAGCTCATAGTAATAAAAAAAATCTATTCTGCACTGTATACAGGTGTGCATGCATGCACACACACTATGAGAAGGAGAGAGAGAGAGAGAGAGAGAGAGAGAGAGAGAGAGAGAGTTGAGGATGAATTTTGTAATTGAGATTATTTTTAAAGATATATGAATGGAGCCCAAAAGATTGCAACATGAGTAAAATATCATGCAAAAAAATGAAATGTCTGAGTAACAAAATATGTTACGAGGAATCCAGATTTTACTTCTTTCAGCCTAACTGCTTAGGTCAATGTCCAAGCATCAGCAGTTGAGAGTTTTTAGTCATTTATAAGATGGGGAATGCGCTCATTATCTGCACGGGTCATGAGGCGTTAATTTAGTCATTTATAAGATGGGGAATGCGCTCATTATTTGCACGGGTCATGATTTTTGAACAATCAGAGCATGTTCAAGGGTATGAGATGCCTCCTAGGTGGAGTTTCACTCTCCTTTTCATAGTGCTCAAACACATAATTAGGAGTCTGAATAAGGAAGTTGATATGTTGAGGCGTTGCCACTTATTGGTTACCACTATACGGTGCAAGATAGTTGGTTTTGAGGTGTTGAAGGATTTGAATGTCATTGATGAGGACTTTCATGAGATTTGGACTCGTTGCCTAGGCAAATTGTAATAACAATATCATAGACCTGATGGTTATCTATTCTTCTAGAATTTGTTGTGTATTCCTAAGAGTTCTCTTAGGGAGTTTATTTTACAATAGTGTCATAATAGAGCTATAACTGAACATTTTGGTAGGGATAAGACTCTTCTCCCGATGAAAAAGAATTTCTGTTGGCATAAACCATACTCCATATGATATGTCATCTAGCTAAGGCCAGAGAGCTAAGATAGGTCTTCATATGCTGCTACATATTGCAAAGCTACATTGGGTGAAGAGCACGAACTTCATTGCACATCTCTTATAAACTGAATTGTGCAAGGATTTAGTTATCGTAGTGGTGGATCCTTTGTTCAGGATGGCACATTTCATACCTTTGTCGTGAGACAATGAATGCTTCACATATTACTGGTCTGTATTTCAGGGTGATAATATGTCATCTTGGTTGTTTAGGACTATCATTTTATAATGGAACTTGAAATTTCCGAATCACTTTTGGAGGACCTTATGGGTAAGCTTGGTATAGTTCAATTCAAGAGCACATTCTCAAATTGATAGATAGAGCTGATAAATCGTAGTTTGGGAAAACTCATGAGGTGTTTTATGGAAAAAAAAAAAATTATAAGGCAGTGTGATTTTATTCTTCCTCGGAATTTACTTGCGACATGCTCACTAGTCAGTTTATAGGTCGCAACCTTTTGGAGGTAGTTTATGGGAGAACTCCCCTCACTCCTTTAGAGTTGATCGTTATATTCCCAAGCATTGAATCTGGTGTTGATGTAGAGATCAGAGTAAAGGAAATTCAGGCTTTGCAATGAGCAGGTAAAAAGAAAGATTACTAAGCAAAATGCTAAGTTTTAGAAGCTGGAAAATAAGTTCAAGAAAACTATGTTTTTAAGGAAAGTGACTTGGTGTGTATTAGATTGAAGGAGAGATTTCTTGCAGGACTATTTAGAAAGCTCAAGACTAGAGTTGACAATCTATTCAGAATGATTAAGAAGATCAATAATAATGCATACAAAATTAATCTGTCGAGAGACTATAATATTCCTACTACCTTTTGATGTTTCTAACTTGTCTCCTTACAAATATCAGAATCTTTTAGAGACAAAGGCGAAACCCTCTTATTTGGAGAAAGTGGTGTCGGAGCATCCCATGTGTAGAAACTGCAGAAGCATCTTGATTGGGCGAGATGTAGTAAGAATGGGATTTCTTGACCTGTGAAAGCTTTAGCGGGAGATTTCCTGCTAATTGAATTGCAGCAGGGCTTTTGGCTCTATTTACTTTATTTTAATTTATAATTAGGGTTTAATTTCTTTTTCTAATATAAGTATTGGAGACATTTGATTGCGGTTTATGTATTTAGATATTATTTTCTTTAATTTCTACCTAACGTAGTGTTTTATCATGTGTTCTCATGCAAGTGGTGTGTTTGTAGCTTGTTCAAGTTTAGGTAGTGGTTCTCCATTGACTTTTGTGCTCGCTGGTATTGTTTTTGGTTCTTCTCCGTTCAGTTTTCAACCTGGACACTAGCTATACCCCTTTAATCCCCTTATAATTTCCGCTTACTTTACTTATTCTCTTCCTCTTACTATTCCACAACCTCTCATCACTAGTTATAATCCTTAAAAATCTTCTAGGAATCCTAGAACGGTGTCACAAATATAAAATAAAATTGATAGAGCCATTACCTGCCTAACTTATAAGAACTGTGAGTCCCCATCATGGATCCGATGAGGCCCTTCAATTTTTTGAGTAATTGAAATACATTCTCTAGTTCACGAGCTCTCATCGAATGTCCCATTGGGGCCCTTTGACCCTGTTTTTAGTATGGTAAAAATTTACAAGTTATACACCATTTTAAATGAAACTGAAATTAAAAATAAGTACTTTTACATGTTATAAAACATACCTTTCAATATTTACGATTTGTTCATCATTCTTGTTCTTAAAGTTCAACTTTGGTATTCAAACTTTCATTATAACACGGGCACACTCAAATTAAACTAAATTTTGAATAATTTTTCTCATAATCTCTTCAATTGTCATATATCTGTAGGAATGAATTCAAGAAGAAAGGGCCAACGGCCCATCATCAAATTGGCATTAAATCATTCTTATTTCTACATCACTTAAATTCCATTTCAATTCAATTTTTAGTTTAAGGCAGCTTTCATAAAATTCGATCTTGTCAGTCTAGAAATATTTTTAATTTTATATTTAAGTCTTTCATAGTAACAAACTGCTAGCTGTTCCATTGAAGCTTGAAATACTTTTAAGAAATTTTGGGGCTAATTCCAACATTGTTTACATTTTAATTTTAACTTTTGCATTTTAACTTTTGAGTTGATTTATGTGTGTTGGTGAGTGGTTGGGCGTGGGGCAGGAGAAAAAGGGCTCTAGTATGCATATTCTGATTTATTTTAATTGGCATTTTTAACCTTATAATTACCATCAGTTTAAGCTATATGTTGGGTCTTATTGATTAAAAATTCACAGATATACAGGGATCATCTAATTTGGACCTCAAAGTTCTGCTTTATGTTTTTCTTACCATGCATTAGAGATCCTTTTGGGTTCTTCATGTCCTTTTGATATCTTTCCCAATTTGCAGATTGCATCTTGTTTTCTCCTCTCCAAGACATTTAATGGTTGCTACAGGCTGTATCATCGTTATGGAGATGTCATATAAAATGGATTTCTCTCTTTTGGGGTTTCTGATTTGCTCTTCGGTTCTCGCATTTGGTATAAATCATTTTCACAATTTTTGTATTCTTCCTTGCTTTCTAATTTGCTAAATGTTAAAAATATGCATTATCGTTCCTTTCATTACAGTTTCTATTACTTATTTGTTGAAGAAACGTGTAATTATTCACTTTATAAATTGTTGAAATATTTATTGAAATAAATGTGTTGCTTGTTCTCACAATCTTGGTGCTACGAAGACAACGACGACCACAACAACAACAAAACTTTATCCCACCAAGTGTGGTCGGTGTACATGAATTGTTTTTCTCCCTTGCGTCCTATTGAGTGTCATAAAATTTAAAATAAAGTATTTTGGATTTTCTTAATATGATCTTTTTTTTTTTTTTTGCACGTGTTAAACACAGTAATCTTGTACTATGATTACTCTACTTCAGTGTTTCTGAAACTATCAAAAATTGACAATTTTCTAGGTATTTTTGAAGCAACTTCTTTGGAGCGTTTGAGGAGAAGCTCTGTAGATGCTCAGGAAACATCTGATGGTAACTTTGAGCACAATTTACAGATGTCACCACTTCCGACTTGATGTATGTTGTTATATAGCATCTTTCTATTATTCAAACTGATCATATTTCATGTACAAAGTTATTTTACATTAAAGTTACCTTATTTCATTCATTTCTATGCTGTGCAATTAAGCTCTTATTTACCCACTTCTAGAGTGATGTTCATACTTAGATTCCTGGATATTTTATGTTCATTAGGTTCTTCCTCTAAATTTAAGTCATTGCGCTTTTCTTTGCAAGTGCATATGTAAATAAATCACTTGAACTGGACTCATTCATTAATCAACCTTTTACTATCCTACTTTGGGTTTATTTATTTTTTGTATATTGAAAGCATATTTTAGAATGTGAAAAATAAAAACAGAAAATAAGTAATCCCCCAAACCAGCCCTTATTGTGCTAAAAAAAATACAATTTTTTTTTAAATACTAAAAATATCTTAAAAGGAATTATTAACTATTTTGAAAAAATGAAAATTTAATTTTTAAAAATAATAGTGAACAACAAGTTTTAACAACAAGATAGAAAAAAAAATATAACCGCACAAATGATCCCCAATATACATATATATATATATAACAGTACAAAAAATTCCAAACGACCACACTTCGAACTTTGCTTAAAACTCCACTCCACAACTCTAAGAAATTTATTCGGGGCAAGGGAGGGAAGTCATGTTCCTCATTTTATTCATTTTGTATACCTTAAAACTCGTTGAACGGAGAAAATATTACATAAATTGAACGACAACATGAATTTTATCATACTGTGCGTTTAACAGTATGATACAATTTACACCATCATCTGCACATCCGTTGTCGGGACATTTTCTCCTTTGAATGGAATGGGTAGCATTTTTAGAATATAAAGACAAACACCTAATAGGAATATAATAAACGCTAATCATCAAAATAACCATTAAGAGGGACATTTTCTCCTTTGAATGGAATGGGTAGCATTTGTAGAATATAAAGAAAATAAAAGATGATATAAGATGTCATCCAGAAATAAGTACAGATTAAGAAAAACATTGAAGGAATTAATCACAAAAATAACCAGTAAGACACAACAAGATGATATCAGATGTAATTCAGAAATAAGTGCAGATTACGAAGAACATTGAAGGATTTTCATAATAATCCAACTAAAAAAATAAAATAACAACTGTGCATTACTAGCAGCGCTATTCTTTTCATAATGGTCATTTTCAATGGCTAACATGAAAGCAAAAGAACAGGGAATGGTTGCCACAAAAAGAAAAAAAGATAGATAAGCCTTCAGGATCGTTGGATTTTATTTAAGGTCTGCACGAATTTCATCGCCTGGCATGATCTCTGTATCTCCATGGTGAGCTTGGGGGCACCTGAGAAGGGACAAGAATAAGATTTTAATGCTTAACATTCTCCAAAGTCTGAATCATATAAAATGGAAACAAAATAAAACTTTATTTGTCTAAAACAAACGAAATATACATAATCTATATATACACAGATAGATTATGTATATTAAAAAAATGGCCGGAGGCTATATCCAAGCCTCCAACCACTCCTAATGTGCCTAACCAATCGAGTGTCGCCAAGGCTCCCGTCGCCATAAGGGATTTGAACCCCCGACCTAAGGGGTCTTACACCAAGGATGCCAACCACCAGGCTCGGGCATAAATTAAGAATATAATTAATAATTAATTTTCTTGATGTATAATTAATTATTAATAATGATAAATATTATGTTAATTAAAATTTCTAACAAAAATATTGTTTAAAATTGACCCAAACATAGTATCTTTTCTAAGTGAAACCTCCATATTTGAACCCGAAAATTTGGCGTCCCACATACTTGACATCCTAGCAAACAAAGAAGAAATAACTGACGAAGGTGCAACATGATATTGCATAAATTAAAACCCTAATTAAAAATTAATTATCCTAAATATTAAATGATTAATAATACATAAAACTAATTAATATTAAGCACTAGATTGATAAAATTTCTCCCCAAATGCTACCTACATGCACCCAAAATTTAAAAACATGTAAACCTCAGACTAAAAAAACAGTTACAAAATTAATTAAAAAATATGACAAAAATCATTGATATATTGATTTAATTTATTAATGATAAAGACAAATCTCCATTTTAAATACTGTTATAAAATAAATGAACCCTAGAGAACAAAGTGAGGAAAGACACAGGAGCTGATGAGAAATTGCTGAAGACAAAAAAGGGACCAGCTGTATGTGAACAAGACAAAGAGTTGGATTTTGCTAGAAGGTAATGATCGGAAAAAAGTTGAATAAACAAGAGGAGCAACTCTTAAAGTTTTAAAGATAAGCAGCTTTTTTGAAGCTTGTTCAATTAATATCTCATTTTCTAAGTTCAACAAGCTCGTCTCAAAAAAGGCTCATTTTTAAACCAAGCCCGAAGTAACAATGAATATCAAATGAAATAAACTAACACCGTCCTAAAAGCTCGAATCGAAATCAAGCTTGAGCAAGTTTGCGCGGCTTAGTTAGATTCATTTGGAGCACCACTAGCGAATAATAGTTCTCAAAAACATTATTTTTTCCCACAATAATTTTACAGCATCGACAAACAGCTATAACTAGCCCAAACGGACCCTCAATCTGTTTCTAACATTTAAAATATCAAGCTTAGCAAGTGACCCTTCAAAATGATTTTAAATTAAATTGAAAATAAACTAAAAGTGTAAACTTTAAAATTTCAAATGCATCTTTAATATGAAGTTGTATAGAAAGTAATATTTAGATTTCAACCCTAAACCCTAAACCCTATGTATTAAAAGAAAAATGGCCACAGACAATTATACGAGCCTCCAACCACCCCTAACGTGCCTAACAATTGAGCACTACCTCCTTGAAGGCCAACTATGCTAGAGGGGATTCGAAACCCCGATCTAAGGGGTCTTATACCGTGGATGTCAACCAATAGGCCGGGATACACGACAAGCATATATATATATATAAGCCCGATGAATCTTAAGATGTATGAGATAAGCTTGTATAATTCAATTCAAACCTGATGAGCAGTAGAAATATGGCTTCCACCAATTCCAAGAACTGAGCTCCTTGGAGTTTTGACCTCCATAGCATTCCTCGTGTCAGAGTAACTTGATAAAACAAATCAAGTAAAAGCAGTTGAGTCAATCCGCGAACAACAAAGATGAAATAAATCCCAAAATATTCCCCGACTATTCGTCTGTTCCAAATTAATCTAAAAGTACCATTTTTTCTTCCCAATTTAGTCTCTCAACATCCCAAATTTGTTCCGAATCACCATTTGGGATCAATTCTATATAACCGAGAGACTAAAATAGTGAAATGTATTATTTTGGATTAAATTGGCCACATAAGGATAGTCGAGAGAATATATGTAATGGTAAAAAATTTATTGTAGCACCTACCCAGCAGGATGCAATGGACCACGATAATCATGAGAGTAATATTGTCGAACAGCATCCTTGTGAGAAAAAAAAATTATTACTTCTTAATCAGATTAAGAAAAAGAAAATACATAGAATTATTTGGGGGCATAACTTAAAGGTGAAGAACAAGAAAGAACCATAATATTGTATAGTAAATTGAACTTGATGCACAATTATTCTTGTACAGTCTTTCTTCAAAATACTTTGAAGTTAACATTTCCAGAAGCTTGGGTAACGAAATAGTATAGGGTTAACATTGAATTATATGCCTCTGTTAAGCTTTAAGGTATAGGGTTAACATTGAATTATATGCCTCTGTTAAGCTTTAAGATGGTTCATATTTTCAAAAACTAAGTTGCATCAGACACCAATTGCCAGTTTGACTGATTTTAGGAAGATTTGCATTACATACCACTCAGTGTATTTACATATCTAACACCTAAACTTCAATTTGAACATAAATATACCACCTTACCCATGCATGAGAAGGTGTATTTCACTTTTTAAAAGTTAAAATAGTGATATATTTGATGTCGTACGAAAGACTTGGGTGGTATCGCTGTAAAAATCAAAGTTCAGGCATTATATGTGTAAATGCATAAGAATTGGGAGGCTTGTATGTAAGTGCCACTTGATTTTAATCCTGCTACGAAACAAGAAAAAAATGCCTTAGAACAGATGACCAATCATTTGGGTGGAAAACAAATCTATTTTTCATAATTTTTAGCTAAGTGCAGAACAAATGGGTTGTTATCAAAAGTAAATTTTCACCTGTCAACTTTCAGCTGCAGCAAAAAGCAAATACTGTCAAAATGTTTAAAAACAGAGTAAACTTTACTCACAAAACCACAGAGAAATAAAGAAATTACAGAATAATTGAGTTTACCGAAGCTAATCAATATATAAAATCGAGAATAATTAGAATCCCTTATTGTGGAATAATATAAAAAGATGCTGACATAGGGAGTAATTAAGTTAAGGAAATTAGCGCTTGATTAGGCAAATTAATAATTCAATAAACTTCAATTTCTTAAGTTGAGTGTAAATTAATCAAATAAAATAATAACCATCCTAAAAGGTAAGTTAGTAATTGCTAATCATTATGAAATTAAGTTTCCTCCATAAAGAGCAAATGTTATGACAAGTGAAGAGAATGCTGGTAGGGAAAAGAGTTGAAGAAAATGAAAATAAAAAAAAAAGGCTGGTAGGAAAAGAGGTGGTATTCCAGCTTGAGAGTAGTTGAAGTTTGAATGGACTTAATTAGGCTGTGCAGTGCTTAAATGGTGATAATCAGGATTAATTAGTTTAATCGGGATAATCAAACACAATTAATTAACAACATTGACAAGTAATGAATTACCGAGACATTAACTTACGTTGACTGAAGCCTAAATATTTAATTAGAGCTTAATTGAATTAACTGAAAACTAATAAGGCCTTATTAGGGTTTAATTCAAATTTCCATTTTCTATTTATTAATTAAAATAAGTAGCCAGTGCAAATTCTCAGCTACTATCCTTTCTGAAAAGAAATCTTCTCATGCGAACCTGAATAAGAACAAACGGATATGGGTCATTTGACAGGCAACAACAATTAAGTTTCAACAAGCAAACAATTCAAAATATGTAAGAAAGATTTACATACATACCACTCAATTTTTATGTATTTACATCTCTCACACCTAAACTTCATTTTCTACATATATGCCATGTTAGAAGTTATATTATGAAACAATTTATTCGTGTGATAATTTATTTCCTTAGATTAGGAGTTATTTCCTTGGATTAGAAGCTAATTCTTTTCCTATTTTAGGCTTTCCGATTTTAAGTTATTTCCTTTATCGTCAAATAATTAATATGAATTGATTAATTAGAGATATTAGATGATATATCTTTCCTTTCATATTATTTTCTTTCTTATTATAGGATTCATGTAAGGGTTATTTGTATCCCCTCTAATATCTATGAAAATATCTGTTTTATTTCGTATTATTCTGAATTTCAATATAGTATCAGAGCCCAATTCCTTGCCCTAACAACTAGACCTCTTCAATAGGATTCATGTAAGGGTTATTTATATTTTCTTCATATCATCCTCCTTGCAGGAAGGGAGGGGCGTTTTCTCTTCCTACGGACGTTATCCAACCTTTCGACGCTCTACCCCAAGTTATCTGCTGATACAGTGATTAACCACCCCGGCTACTTCTTGAGAAAACTCTAGGCCTTTTTGTCGGTCTGGATGGAAGAGAAGTGCCCTTGAATTGGATGGTAGAATTTCTTCTAACTTTCGGTGTGATTCTTGCCAGCTACTCCTTTATTTGTACTCCGAACTTAGGTCTTTTGGGTATAATTACCGTCCTCGCCCTGACTGTCCGATGCATGCCACACGAGTTATTAGTGCTTCAAAGTAGAATAGGGCTGAACCCTTTTATAAGGAAGGGAATTTCGAGTCCCAAATTTGATTCCAAGAGCATCTATGTGGCGTCGGTTACCAAATCTAGATGTTTAACTGCGTTGGCGTTTTAAACCTTGTATTGCTCAGTTTATGGCCCATATTCAAGTTTGTGTGAAGAGGAAACAAAATTTTTCACATTTGTACTTCTAGGCCATTAGATGTTAAGATGAGGTTTACTGTGTGTATCTAGATGCCATAATATGGATTATCTCTATAACATTGGTTATGTATGTACGGATCCCATTGAAGTCCTAGAGAAAGGGAAGCTAAAGTTTTCTCTGCCTGAAGCTTTTAATGGCTTATCAGATATAGACTTTGCTTCACCTGACAAGACAAGGTTGCTTGCATCTGGATTGGATGGTGCTATATACATATGGGATAGGCGGCTCAGCAATATTCCATGTCGAAGGCTGAATTCTAGCTTTCAGAGCCCTCTTAACAACATTGAATTAGATATTGAAAATCAAATTGTTTCCAGAGTTTTTCCTGAAAACATGCTTTCCTCAGGAGCTCTTCCTACATCAAACACTCCTCCGAAGCTTTTCCTGCAGCAAGCCTCCTCCGGAGCTTTTTTTCTACAATAGGTTTTCCTCCGACGCTTTTCCTGCATAGACCCTCCTCCAGAGATTTTCTTGCAAAGGACCCTCCCCCCGAGCCTTTCCTGCATCATGTCATCCGGAGCCTTTTCCTGCATCATGCCATCCGGAACTTTTCCTGCAGCAGGTCGTCCTCCAAAATTTTTCTTAAAGCAGATCCTCCTCCGAAGCCTTTTCTTGCATCAGGCACTCTGGAACTTTCTCCTGCATCGAGCCCTCTTCCGGAATCTTTCCTACAACTGACACTCCTCCAGAGCTTTTTTTTGCAACAAAGCCTACCTCCGAACCATTTCCTTTTCTACAGATCATACCCTACAGCTTTTCTACAGGTTGTCTACGTCCTTGCAAACTCCCCTGCAGCATTATCTGTAGGAGTCTTCCGCCTACCTACAAAAACTGCAATAACTGCAGCCAACAACAACCGCAACCAATTAGTAGTTAGTTTTTTTTACGGGTTGTCTACTTCCTTGCAAACTCCCCTGCATCATTACTTGAAGGAGACTTTTGTCTACCAACAGATATTGCAGAAACTAGAATCAATGACAATCGAAGTATATGATGAAGACTTCAAGCTCTACTTCACAGAATCTTCCTCGCCCATTGTTTGATATTTTCAAAATCTAAGTTGAACATAGTTTTCAACCATGTTTCAACTTGATTGTGAATGTCAGAAGTTATATTAGGAAATAACTTATTCTTGAAAGAAGTTTGGAGGAATAAATTATTTACTTAAATTAGTAGTTATTTCTTTTTCCTATTTTATATTTATTTTCTTGGATTAGAAATTCTTTCCTTTCCTATTTTAGGCTTTCCTATCTTATGTATTTTTTTTATCTTCAAATAACTAATATCCATTAATTAATTGAAGATATTAGGTGATATATCTATCCTTTTATATTATTTTATTTTTACTATTTTTCCTATTCTAGGATCCATGTAAGGGTTATTTATATTCCCTCTCATACCAATGAAAATATCTGCTTAATTTCGCAATATTCTGAATTTCAATATGCCATCTTGCCTATTGCATGAACAAGGTGTACTTAAAAGTTAAAATAGTGGTATATTTGATGTGATAAGAATGATTTCAGTGGTATAAATGTAAAATTAAAGTTCAGGTGTTAGATATGTAAATACATAGGAATTGGGTGGAATACATGTAAATGCCCTAGTATATAAGTATTCTACAGCAGTATTCCTTGTAATAGCTTACGGGAGACTATATAGGCTTTATCAAAAAACGTCCCATATCTACAGCTAATTCCTTATGATAGCATCATGGAAGATTTACCAAATAAAATTTCCTGGGTAACCAAAACATTTTCTACATCAGCTTTCCTTGAAATAACTTCATGGATGCCATCAATGACAACACCAGACGACCAAAACAAGCCTGCCTATCACTATAATTAATAATAATAATAAGGAAGATTTAAATACACGCCAATGACGCCATTCAATTTTGATGTATACATATCTAACACCTAAACTTCAATTTTTACATGCATGCCGCTTTGCCTAAGCATTGAAAGTGTATTTCAATTTTTAAATGTTAAAATGGTGGTATTCTGATGTGATATGAATGTATTTCAATTTTTAAAAGTTAAAATGGTGGTATTCTGATGTGATATGAAAGATTTGGGTGTTATAAAATACCAACAAAGCTAACAAAAAGTAGACAATTTGCTTTCAAACTTCTATATTGCGCGCCAATTCAATGTACAAAAGTATATTATTAATAATTGGCGCGACATAATATGGTACTTTTATAGAAAATGAAATGAAACCCACATGTTGTCTAATAACTAGAGTAAGAATAATTTTCCAATGGGGTTAGCAACCTTTATTAATGATGGAACTATAAGGAAATACAATCGTAGTGAAACAAAAAAAAAATGCAATTTCTTAAACTATCTTTTTCAAGACTCGTAAAGGGATTTCTTAAATAATTATTTGTATTCAAACGCAAACAATGCAAATAAATA